ATTTAGAAATGATCGAACGATTTTTTTAAATTTGGCACGTTTTAATCGCTTTTTGTTGTTATGGCCACAATTTTCCAGTTACAGTTCTTCTCTTTCTATTCTCAAAACGCGCGACTAAACATTAGCAAGATATGTGGCTTCTACAGTACGGGGCTTCTGCTTATTTTAAAAGGAAAGTGCTGGAGTGTTTGAACAATACTTTTCCGAATAGGTGGATTAGCAACTATAGACATTGCATGGCCACAAAGGTAGCCAGACCTGGACCCTCGCCATTTCTTCCTCGGGGATTTTTCGAAAAGTTTAGTTTACAAGTCGCAAGTAAACACACGAAAAGTCTTAACTTTTCGTATAGAGCACGCTGTAGCAGCAATCAGAGAAAAATAGACTTCTTCATTACAGGAACAGTCGAGAATGTCAAGCAGAACGTTGTGTTGAAGTGTATGGTGACTGTTTTAAACACATTCTTTAAATTAATCGAAATCGTAGACTTGCTTTGCGCAAAATTGTTGAAAGTTTCTTATTTTTAACTTTATTCGAAAAAGCAGTTTGAAAATGTTCTATTCAGTTAGTTTTATTTGCAGTTAAAAAGTGAAACAAAAAAAAGTGAAAAATGCAAACATGATGATGGTTATTTTTAAGAAACACGCTTTAAGCCCCTCCCTATAATCTAAGATAGTAAAATAATTACTTACTGGACCAAACCAACTCAACTGGAAACATAATTTGGTCGGTCTTCAATCGATTACGTTCTTGAGTAATTTCCAGCTCCTTCTGGGTAATTAATTTTCTCGCAGAAGCCTGCGGATCAACTTTCCTCCTTTTCCCTTTTTGAGCTGACTTGGATAACTTCTTCCGTCGTTTTTTAACACGAGGAAGCACATGCCGTCTTCGCTCCTTCGAACAATAAAATACATTCAAATATAAATGAAAGGCAACAAAACGGCTGTACCATACTACTGTACCGATGAATCGGCGTTATTAGATCTTTATCTAGGTGTTATCAGTCAGAAAAAAAAATGTCTGTTTAGTTGGAATAGCAGAAGGAATAGAAGAAGTCAGTACCAGTTTACATTAAAAAAATCAATTAACCAATTAAAAGTGTTCTTGCACTCTTAGAAGAAAATTCCATTCTTCATTGAGCTCATATTTCCGTATGTCGAGAACAGCGAATAGTTTTCATGGTTCTTTACCTGCTTTACTGCAATGATTTTTTAGTTGAATAACAGCAACTTAGCACTGAAGTTTGAAGTGCTGTATACACGTAAATTGTAATAAAATGCAAGTGAATGAAAAAACAAAACTATGCTTAATCACGAACGTTGACATTTCACGTATATAAGACCATTTTGCCTCATGTTTAAGATTCAACGGAACAGTAAAATCGGCATTACTTTTTAAACTGGTTAGTAATCTTCAATTGGGTACCAATAACCCCTCAAAGACATGATGGTGACAACTTTGCATCATCTGTACCTTGTGGCACTTTCTGCACAATTTAAGTAGTGGATAGCAGCGCAAACTCTTGCATCTCTTACACATTTCAAAGGAACTTGGAACAGGGACGCGTGAAAGGGGTAGCGCTTCTTCAGGCGAACTATCTTCGACACCCGATGATTCAGTCTTATTCAATTCCATCAATGGCGACGTTACAACGGAGTTAATGATAATCCTCTCCGTCTAAAATTAGAATAAAAAAACAAGTTTAGTTCAGATAAATCGCAGTGTAAAAGGCAAGCGCCAGATATGCTTCATTGGACTTGCTGGTTTATACACTAAACGTGCTATTATCATATAAGTCACCTCAGAGTCTGTAGATGAATACTCTATGTGTGCGCTACCTTCTGGTGAAGCAACTAATTCGTATTCATCGCTCCCGCTGGATTCCGTTGCATCAGAGTCAGATGAACGGTTATCTGACTCTAGGGTAGCTGTAGCAAATTTAATTTGAAATGTAATTTCTTCAAATATGGTGTCCATCTTAGTCTTACCCGTCTCATAGGATTGCAAACTGCAAACGCTTTCATCGTCTGAATTTTGAGAACTTTCACTCGCCAAACGAACGTAGTAGAAGAGTCCACTTGTACGGGGCCTTTTAGCACCCTGAGTAACAACAGTAAGACTGCACCCTATAGAAAATATTGCATTTGATAAGTTTCTTTCAAACCAAATATTCCGCATAAGTAAAATCTAACTTATAATATTACATTTATATTTAATCATATTCATTTTAAGAGATGTCGAAAGGAATTTCTACGCTCTAGCCTTTATTCATCACCCACCTCATCACAACCCTCAAGTGGATCACATTTTAAAATTATCTTTAACTATACTATTTTGAAAATATCTAGAAAAGTGTGAAAAATTGTCCCTTCGCCAAAGCGTCTTGAGAAATATGGCTAATTTTGAATCTTCCTGTGATTTTCAGCTTTGATTTAGCTGCTACTAAATAACTATTTTTTGCTGGTATGTAACTACAGTATACAATTTATTTGGACACGCGTTGCATTGAATTAATAATTTAGACACTTTTATTTTCAGAAATAAGTGACTTAATTAGCAAATACTTTTATGAGATTATTTCGCTGTTAACGAATAACACGATAAGAAAAGCATTAAGAAACTAGAACAAGAGCCCAGATTTGAAAAACTTGTCAATTGGTGTTCTGGATTATAAAAGCGCTTTTCAAAATTACTTATCTTGGGAGCTTAAACTTAAACGAAAAGTTTAGTGATAATATTTCAAAATTTATAGAACTGCATAATAAAACAAATTCAATTCAGATAAAAATTAACAGGAAATCTGTTGTCTAAATTATTTTAAAACTAAACTTAAATACTTGCATGTAAAAGAATATTTCAAAGCACTTACCCGGGCTTCGATCCATTGTGACTGTGACTGACATTCTACGTATAATCAATTTATATTTTATACACAAAGTTTTTCTTTGAGAGAAGAAGAGCACAAAAAACTTTCGCTAAAATCCAACAAGTTGAAAAGTGTTTGACGTTACGCACGTTGCTTCCGTATTTCCGGTAATAACATGTTTGTTGGAATTCCTCGCTAACTAGCTAGCAATTGCATATCTTGCATAAACATGTTATATGCATATCATGATAAAATCATATCAGTACAGCAAAAAAAACAACATCTGCATGACATTCTCACTACATTTGTTTACTTTTTGTTTGATAGTATCCCTTTATTCAGGGGCTGATTGGTGGGGTTTAGAAGTCGCACAATGTTGCCAGATAGTTGCCCAAAAAATTGACTGGGATATAGCATTTAAAACAGGTATTACAATAGTATCACCAACCATAGAGAGAATAGTCTGCATTCTTAAGTGGCTTCTCAGTGAATTTGTTCAATCGAACGCATGTAAAGTTTTGCGGCTTGATAGTGAGGACAGTGCCATGCGTTTGGACGTACGGCAAACCAATTACAGAAATTAAAGAATACTTGTCAATAGTGTAATAGTCCCAGACATGTGGTTTGGCTGACAAAATGCATGCTTGTCAGCTGTTGCTAAAATTCTTTAAAATATTGCGGATACCTTGCCATAAAAATCTTAACGGACAAGCTATACGATCGTCCTACCAGCTTAGATTCATCATGAAGTTTTGCCTGATATTCTGTGTATTTTAGATTCATTGCAAGTGTTACTTGTTCTCTACATTTAAAAAAATCCAGTCATTGTTAGTGTTTCGATTCTATTTAAACTCCTGACAACATTGCAGTGAAGTTGTAAAATGTGAAAGATACTTGACGTTTCTCGCGAAACGTCGACGTGACGTAAACACGAAAAGTGAGAAGTCAAAGGTGTTCTTAGGTTTTTCTCGTTATTTTCGCTTTCGGAAATTATGACTTCCCATTTATCCAAGGAGGACATCGAAGCCGTTTTCCACAGACTTAGGGCAATTCCGTCCAACAAGGTACAATGCAGTATTTTTGATAAAATCAAAGATACGACACAGTAATGTGACGTGTCTTTGATTTTATATATTCGGGTTCCTAAACTAAATTTGCTCTGTTATGTTTCTTGTTAATTTCAGTACCATCTGGTAACGATAATTAGTGTGCGCACTCACAAAGTCTGCATTTTCAATCCATTGAAATAAATACTTACCATCAAAATAGAATTTTTCTGTCAAGCACAGATGTAAAAGGGCCTTTTTTACATTCATGGTGTTGTCTTTAACTTTTATGAAGGAAAATATATTGCATATTTATCTGCTTAATATCTTTTATTACTCAAATACTTTGTCCAGGGTCTAATATTTACTAATTAATTTGAAGGAGGCTTTGTAGTATTTAATTTAAATTTATTGTTCCTATCGAGATGCTTTTATTATTTAGTGCTTTTCGTGTTGAAGCTCCAAATTATTACAGTAGGATGATGATAAACTCAAGAAAAAGAAGAATTTGTCTACTAATTTAATGAAGTCGATGTTTTTTAATTTTCCTGAAGTTTGGTACACTATTCACATTTGACAAAATATTTATTGATAAGAATATGTTTTTTTCAGGTTTGCTTCGATTGTGGATCAAATAATCCAACATGGTCCAGTGTAACATACGGTATATTTCTTTGCCTGGATTGTTCAGCTGTGCACCGAAGTCTAGGGGTTCATTTGAGTTTTGTTCGTTCAACGCAATTGGATACCAATTGGACACCATTGCAAATCAGACAAATGCAGTTGGGGGGAAACGCAGCCGCGGTAAATTTACAAGAATTATCACGGAATGTTTATAGTAGCACTGTTTAAAACAATAACGCGTTTAATCAAACAACATTCCTATAGTGCCGATTAAAATTTGCTATCAAGGCTTCTAAATTTTAAAGTACAATTGATTTTATATACGTCGGCTTTGTCTTCATACTAGTTTCTATAGCTTTAAACACGATTTATTATAAACCTAGTTATAAGCAAAAGTAGAAAGTCACGTATAAAATATAAGAAGTTTAGCTCTTGAATAGTCCTACTTAAAATTAAGTTTTTATTATAAAACTTTTTTGTGCTTGTACCACTTTCTTTCGCTAGTAATATCTAATTACTTTATATTATTCTTATCTTTTACTTAAGAACAGCCCAGATTATTAAAGTGTCCCATTTTTAGATTAATGTATTTAAAAATAATCTTTCAAGGCAGGCTTATAATAATGATTGTTGGGGTATTAAATCAAGTACAACATCTATTCTGGTGAAATCAGCTGTTTTTACTATTCTTGATTTAAATGTAGGCTCGAACTAGAACCTACAAACATTTCGCAGAGTAAATTCTATCTGCAATTAAAATTTAATGTTATCTGTATTTTTCGATTTTTATAGCACGTTAATTCCCTAATTTAGATGCAATTTTTCAACTTGCACAACTGCAACACGAATGACTCCCAAAAGAAGTATAATTCCAGAGCAGCGTCGCTTTATCGCGATAAGCTCAATCAAGCTGCCTTAAGTTCGCTGAAAACAAATGACCAGGTAAATTAATAAAAAGCATTTTATTCAAATTGTGTTATCTGGTGAACTTTTAACAATATTGCTTAACAATGCACGTTTGTATTTTTTTGCTAGTGAGTTTTTTTTTAACTAAAACATTAATGTTTTCCATAAATAAACATGACTATTATAAGCGTAAAATCATGGATATTGTAATCATTAGCATTCGGCAAAAATACATTTGGAATCAGAAATATTGTAAATGTACAGAGTGATTATGCATTAATAAAAAGTGGAAAATAAAATAAGCGGTCACTTAGTAAGCTATACAAAAACTGCTTCAAATTCTATACAGACTGTGAATAGAAAGCAAAAAGCAGACTTTTCAGTTAAAAAATAATTTGAGCCTTCAAAACTTTATTTTCAATCACATCATTTAAATTTATAAGATTTTTTCCAGTCACTTTGTTCACGTTCTGAGGTGCAATGACTCACTCTGTATATCTTGGATTACACATGAAGAGATAATTTAATAATGTCTGTTATTACACCTATTTATTGTTCTAATTAACAACGAGTTAGTAAGTTATAAAGCAAATAATCGTTTCAGTCTTATCATTTTAATTGATTCTTAACATGTATATTTATTAAATCCGTCAACATTTATTTGGAAAGCAAACAATGTACTTATTTTATTTATTGATTTTTTAACTTAGCTATAGGATATTATGGATGTTACCATCAGGCATTGCTTTTGATTTTTAGTTGCACTACATTCAAGAAAAACAGGAACCGGCAGTAAAGGAACAGCCCGACTTTTTTGCACAACATGAGAACTTTGGAAACAGTAATCTAATTGGAGATTCTCAAAAAGGAAAAGTAATTGACATTTTCTTTTCACTTGTAAATGTTTAAAGTAAAATTGCGTCGTATACGTATAAAATCGTAATGCAGCAGGAAGAAATGGCGGTTTTTGATTGATGTTTTCTAGTCAGACTTCTCGAAATACTACGCCATACGAAGGCTTGAATATTGTTATTCTACAAGCGCTTGAATATTTTTATAGTTTTTCAATGCATTTTCATATTAATGTTGAACTTCGGCTTCTCTTCCATAAAAAATGCACACATATTCAATAATATACATGTTAATTTTTGTTAAATTTTCCAATTATAGGAGGTAAAAACAGCCCAACAAAAGGAGATTGAGAAACAAAGTTGTTTGGGAAACAGTTTGAATTTTAATGACAAACAATCTAGTGAACCTAGGAAATCTACACTTGGGACAAGAAAGGCAGCGACTAAGAAAAGCACGGTGAGATTATTTAATTTGTCTGTTAATTTTAATACGAAAACATGTTCATTTGAATTACAGCTTGGTGTAAAACGCAGCGGTTTGGGGGGCGGTCTTGGTGCTACCAAAGTCAAAACAGATTTTGCAGCGATCGAAAGAAAAGCCGAAGAGCGGGCGGAACAAGAAGAGCGCGGCCGTATTGAAGTAGAAAACGCCTCGCAAAAAGCTGCCGAAGATGCTGAGCGGGCTGAAGCCACATTGCGTCTTGCCTATAGGTATTTGTTTGTATATAATAGAAGAAATAATAATCCGGAAGATCAATGAAGAGTGCCTTTCAAACTCATTAATTTTTGCTGTGTTCTGTTGGATTGAAAATATGAAATTGAATTTATTTCAAGAGAACGGGAAGATACTGTGAAAAATGCTACTGCTGAAAAGGCAGCTCAGATAGAGAGACTAGGAATGGGGGTATCGAAGGTAACACGCGAGGGTGTTTCTCATTCGGCGCTAGGAGGTGTGGAAGTGATTCAGCAGGTAAGTGTTTGAACTAAAGATTTCGTTCAAAATACATTTTTTTTACTTGGACCTGGAAAATAAAATAAAAAACATTTATTGGCCTAATGCAAAGTGGCGAATTTATAAATTAGATTTTTAACGTCTAACTTTTTTTGGGTAATTTTGGAAAAATTGGGCATAGTTCAAATTACGCGTACCGCAAATAAATAAAACACATACAACTTTTACCTGTGTGATTGTGAACAATGTGAGTTCTATTCTTCAAAGGAAAGACCTGCTGTATCATCAAAAACGATAGACACCCTTGGCCGGTTAACCTTGAACGACAGTCCTGATTACTTTGACGATTACCTTAATGGGGCTGGTGTTTATGCGTCTTCTTTGAGTAAAGATAGCTGGGTTGTTGTGGATGATCCTCCTGAACGAGAGCGTCGTACTCCAATTGAAACTATTAGCGAAAAGCCACGGGGGCGAGCACCCAAAAGCCATCCGGATGCGAGTTCTTCCGATGAAGCGCAGCGGAAGTTTGGAAATGCCAAAGCAATCTCCTCTGCTCAATTCTTTGGTGATAATGAACCCGATGCCGAGACCAAAGCTAGCCTTAATAGATTTCAGGTAGGTGAAATATCTGCCGACGTATTTCAGTTTAGACATCCTGCTTGTTCCTAATGGGACGTTATTTATAACTATTTATTCAGATGAGTTTCACATATTTTTATCACTCTAATTTCTTTAGGGATCAAACAGCATTTCATCTGCGGAGTTTTTCGGTCGCAATGAGGAAACGAGGTCAAGTTCAGCGGCGCATCTTCCAGCATATGATTTAGAGGAAGTGAAGGAAAGCGTGCGCCAAGGCGTTAACAGAGTGGCTGGTAAAATAGGATCTTTAGCCAATGGATTTGTCACATCGCTTCAAGTAAGTTTCGTTGTTATTTGTTTAACTTGTCTTATTGAAAGCTCTTGAAGATAACGATTGATTCAATCAGCTTTTAACAAGTTATATGTTCAAACTGAACCAGCTGGATCTTATAGCGGAGCAGAGTATTTTTTCCAAAAAACGTTTTCTCAATCTATCGAGTAATTTACGATAAAACTGAATCGCCCGACAATAGAGGCATTTGTTTGCCTTCTGCATCATATGCAAAATTTCGAAACCTCTTTTCTATACATTAAAAAAATGTAATGTAATAGTAACTTTTTTATTATTATTAATGTTATTATTTCAACAACACATCATACATCCAAGCTTGATTTTTTTCCCCAAGTAGAGACTGACAATAAAATTCATTAAAAATATCTATTATTAAAAGAACAGGAAGACCTCGATTTGTGATTTGTTCCTGATGATTGATTAATATCAACAAAACATTTTGCACAATTTTCTAGAAACTAGAGCGTTTTCTAAATTTAGTTATTGGAATTGAAAATCACGCTTGGTGATGTTTTCATTACGTACCTTTGCGGTATGTTCTAATCTAATTCTAATCCTCTAATTCTCTATCTAATCTAATTCCAAGTTTGAATGATCCCGATCAACACTGTACAATACATCGAGATAGTTATCTATGTATCTAAAACATAAATAGTATAAAAAACAAGAGAAGTTGAGAACTTTCGCTCACAAAATCTCTTTGGCGACCGTTCGGAGATGCCTCCAACAATCTCCTACAAATTCCCACCGCATCGCCCAACAACATTAAAGTGCGCGTGCGTCAGATGCTCAACCGATCTGCTGATCTGCTATGCAACAAAAATGGCATCCAGCGATCGTTGGGAGGCCGGCGCATCGTAAGAGATCGACTATGCATACCGGCCTAAATGTTCTAGCTTTTGATTGAGTCAATATTAGCCAGATCAAAAGTTTGTTTTTATCCTTACAGGATCGATATGCCCAGTAGCAGAAAAGAGTTGACCGAAAACCAATCGCCAGCTGATTAGAGCGCTGTTTAATTAGTGCTTATAAATAGGAAATCATTTTTTATGTTTAAGCTTATAGAGTGTAAATTTAGTAACAAAGGTTCCACTTGTTGCTGATTTTTGTTATAAGTTTGAATCAGAAACTTAGAAAATGAATTGTTATCTGCTTAAACGTCTATCATAAATAAACCGGTGCAATTTTTTTAATTATTTAACTTATATAATAGCACAAGCATAGATAATTAATGACGGTGTATGTATGAAAATTTGAGTCAAATTGAAGAAGTAATTAAAGAAAAGTCGTTCAAGTCTGGGTTCTCTCCAACCAAACACATCGCGCTGCTTATTGATTAGCAAAAATTAAATGAAAATTGATCGCGCAAAAAAGTTGACTTTTTTGCGCTTATTGATTTTCTATATTAGAATGGGAAGACATTAGCAATAAGCGTTTTGGATCAATTTATATTTTCAGGAGTTTAGAGTTTTAGCTCGAATTTTTAACATGCTTATCGGCACAGGTTTTATTTACTTTTTATTAGTATGATGATACGTTATTAATTGACATATCAATCATTTCTTTTAAAATCCTAAATTTTGAACTGTCAATATAGAATGCTACTTGCATTAATTCCTTTGAAATTATTAGGTGTCGTTCTTTTATGAATTTTTGTAGCCATTAAATTAATTTTAAATACAAAACAGTATTTAAAACTTAGCAATGTTTGCTTACAAATTAGTTAGCTACATTAGAGTGGTTATCTCAATAATTTAATTAATGATGGTATTCATTTGCTTAAAAATTACCTTCATACTTTTCCATCAAATTGTGGGCTGATGTAATTAAACACTCAAAACTGGTGGCAATCGCTTGAAATACTTATTAATACTCCTTATGCAAGTTATTTATTTGTTAAATTGATCTGTACATCTATTTTTTGTAATTATGTTGTTTTGTTCATATGGTTTTTATTTTAAAGTGGCTTATTCTTTTATGTAACTCGCATTTCGAAACTGCAAAGCAAGCACAGTTATCACTCACCATATTTTTATTTACAGTTTTAGCTATTTTATATAGTTAGTTAGTATGCATTATTTTATATTGATGACTAAGTACAAGAAAAATGGAAATTATATAAACATCAAACAAGTGTTTGACTATGCTGCTGTTTTGGAATAAATCATCCTATCATCACATAAGCATTTGATTGAAAGCGGTTAAAGATGTATTTACCTTATTTCTATCTAATTCGCGAATATTTTTAAATTCTTTCGAGAGTTTAGGTTTAGAAGAAAATTGGCAAAACGAATAAAAACCGACATACTGTAAAACTGAATCTTACGGGTTGCAATTTAAATTATAAACTAGGAAGTTTGAAACGTGAATGAAATGAGAATTTAAGAAAACAGTTCAGTTTGAGATATTTTGGCTGGATTCGAATGGAGGCGATGTCATATTGAAATTTTAAATTTGAAGAAGTGAAACTATGCATAATCATCGGATTGTAATAAATTTTGGTTAATTTAAGCCGAAACAAAAATTTATCAAAAGTCTGTATGTAGTCAGTACCTGAATATTAATTCAAAAGCTTGAAATCTACGTGTTTCAAACTAAATAAACAAAATACTTTTTAGTAAATAAACATCTAACTTACATTGTTGATGTTACAGTTCTGTTTTGCTTTGTTGGTTATTAATGGCATGTGATTGATGTATTTTTTGGCAATTTCCATTTTAGAGGCGCAGGAACATTTATTAATAAGCGTATTGTACCTGTAATTGTGGTTCATTATTATCAATGTAAGACGGTGTTATCTACGTGAGATTGCACGGTAAGTATGATTTTATAAATACGCCAGTTTCTCGAAAAATCACCTTGTAGGTACTTTAATGAATAAGGGACATTGCGTTTTTAAACAGTTGGTGATGTGGACATGTTATCTGGGAATTAAGGCTTATTGTCCCATAGGTTAATTTTGAGTTATTGTAGCCGATTTTTGACTATTTTGGGAAAAAAATTGCATCAGCAACACTTATTAGAAAAGATATTTCAAATAAACGACGACCACTTTTAAACCTAAAAAAATATATTTAACGCTATCTCAAGACAGGCCTGGGGTAGAACTAGTGGGTTTAATGGTACTTAAAAATTAAATGAAAAATGTATGATAAGAGCTATGGGATATAAAATTTTAAGCTAGTTTGACTTTCTAAAATGTCATAATATTCCTACTTTTATTCCTCATATTCGTATAAAACATATACCAGACTTTACAAAACTGTAAAGAAATGTTCATTATCTTTAAAGAAATTGCTTGCTGAGAGAAAAAGTTATATATTAACAACTAGGTGTTCAGGGTTTCCGTACAAAATTAATATTGTTAAAATATTTAGGAAACCCAATAATAATATTTATACCTGATCGTTGAACGAAGGCTTTTGAAATTGTGCTATTATGTCGAAAGATTTTGATGTGGTTAAAGCTAAATTTTTTGAATTTGTGCTAAAATTTCTTATGTTGCTATCATTATGGCCTGCTTCTTCTTTACTGCTATAAAAAACTATGTCACTTGTTCTTCGGAACATTTCGAACTTCTCATTTAAATTTTGCAGTTCTTGAGTGGATGTGGTTCTACAGGATGCTGCCGTTTCGCTTACATTCTCTTCGTCGACTTCCTGAAATAATAATAACGAATGATTCATCTAATGTGAACAAACGCAATCCTGTGGAAGACTGTCTCTCTGCACACTTTATTTTTTGACCAAAGTGATTGGAATAACGTAATTCTGTGCTGAAAAAACATTTACTGAAGATATGCTTTTATTCTTAGTTTTAATTGGTATGTAAAACGTGTGCAGTCTTAAGTTGACATATTTTTTGTTTTTTGGTCGAAGGACGGACGAGCCTCAACAACTCAAAAATTTACACACACCGGTTTGTAAAATAAAACAAAGATTTATTTCAAACTGCGCCTCAAATGAAGTGAAAGGCCCATCATTGTTAACGGTACAATAAATAAGTTCAATTTTTGCTCCATGTGTAGCTTGCTCCATATAAATTAATTTCATAAAATTGGAGGCAAAGGAAAATGTGCAATCAACACCAAAAAAGCACTTTATTTTCTTAATTAAAAATGTATTACTTTGTTTCAAGTATTTTTATCTAACGTCCAGTATCTCTCAAATTATTTTTTACTGTTTTAATTGTAACTTCTGCTATGCTTATTTTCTTACTTACTTTTCTTAAACTCTATCTTTTACAGGGTGAAAATGATGAAGAAAATCAAACAATTGCTTAATCTTGATTGTGGACTGTATATTATCACGGTTATGTCTGTACAATCATTTTAACTCTGTAAAAGCTACAGTTTAATAAAAGTAAAGAATTCTCTAAATTAAGAAAATAAGCATAGTAGGAGTTACAATTAAAACATGGTCCTTCGCTGTTTTTACAATTAACGTGGAAGTCCGTAATCAGTAAGTGTAATCATTTTATGATTACACGTATTTTAAACGAGAATACTTAATATAAAACTTTTGTGGTCAGCAACTCTTCAAATTTTCAGCATATGTATCGAGAAAGTATATCTACATGTTGATTATTTTATGTGGAATTGGACGCACCGAACATATATATCCGGTTTTTTGAAATACCAAATCCGTTTTCCAATAAGTTTTAATTTGAAGACCCAATTAAATTTGCTTGACAATGATTATAAATTCCCATAAAAGTCTATGTACATTAATTCAATACGGAGAAATATAAAATAACAAGTTGCAAACAACTTCGCTCCTTTTGCATCAGTATCAACTTACTTTTATTTCGGAAAAGGTTACGGGCTGAGTCCTATATCTAGATGAGCAACCTTTTCTTTTCTTCGGTACAACTCTTCTATGTAATCTTGATAGGTGTTCTGGATAAATGGTGTCGGTATCTGAAAGCAAAGAAACATTTTTAAACATTAAATTTTCGATTAAACTAATACAAGCAGTCAAAGACAAATATTTCTTTAAAAAAATATATACATCGTATTTACCTACTCAGTAGTACCTCAGAAAAAGTAATTTTTGAAATTAAACTCATTAACACTTTGTTATAGCTATAATTTTTCATACAGGGTTTCTCAATATCAACAAAATTTTAGATTTTTTACAATACTCCATTTTTTCGTCTACACTATAGGGCAAACTGAGGCAAATGTATCGAATTACTAAAATTTTTGAGCTATCATCTATTATTGATATTTAATTTGTCCGAGTGCTCTTGTCCTCTTCACTTAACAATAATTTGCTTGAAATGGATTAATGCTTTATTATAAATATATAAATGTATTAAAGAATGTTCTCTGTTTCTCTATGTTGAAATAGGCCCATAATTTTTAAGGATTGGTGAGAATTTCAATGCGATAAATAATAATAATAATAGTATTTATTAGCAGGAATTGCTCATACAAAAACAACTCATTGTTAAAGTTTAGCAGCAGTGAACCAGAAAAATATCAAAATCAATACATCTAAAAGCAAACAATGACTTGACAAATTCGTTTATATATTATTATACTTAGTGTTTGTTTTTTCTTATTTTTTAATAAGTTACTATGCGGCCTTAATGAAATTTAATGTAAGTATTTTATGCGATGTTACCTAAAACTGAAACTCTTTATCGAGAAGCAAACACAAAATTTGGAGTACAGTACGAATATGCCATAAAACAAAGTGAACGTTTTCATGCATCAAAAATTCAAGTTTGTCTGCCCTCCGAATTTAAAAATACTAAAGCAAATTAGAGGTGACGGTAAATAGCTTTCGGCTAAAATCGTTTTTTATAAACTTATGACGAATCTTTAATTCAATTTTTTTAATCAAACATTACTTAGGTTTGTATTGTTAATACACAGCTTTGTCTGATTTAAAAAATATATAATGTTAATGTAAATAACATTCCTCAAATTTGCTCAAAAAATTGCTTCATAAAGACAATTAAATCAGAATTTGAAAGCATAAGATAGAAACAAATACGTCTGATATCCATATCGACGGATTTTGAATTGGCTTCAGTAATCGTGGATTGGTTTATTCTAAATATTTTTTGTTAATATAAATGTGAGGCTTTTTTGTTCTTAACAATAGTTAGGATTCAGGAAATGTGAATCTTTAGAATCACATTCAGAAATTCATCGACGTTAGCCTCGGGTACACTCTTTATGCAATAAAAAATAAGAATGTGACAATAAACTATGAAACTACGAATTATTTCTGCTAGTGAATGATTACCATATTTTGGTAATATTCATTAGGTTGTACTTGTTTTCCAATTGAATTATAAACACGATGACGATTATGCTGGTAAATATTTTCCAAACTTGATTTTCGTTCTGTTTCTGGCACGAATCAATTTTCCAAATATACTTATAAAAATACCCCCCCTTGAAAATTATTAATGGTTTTGCTAATTACTGCTTTCGCGTTTATTTCGGTACGATTTTCAAGCAACGTGCTTTTTTTGTTTGCCAGTTCAGCAAAACAAAAGGAACCCGTTTAAACGCGCTCAAATGCGAAATGGGACATTAAACTTTTCTTGGAAAACAATGCCAAAAACATTTACAGTATTTCAATATCCAATGTATTTTTAATTTGACGGGCGTGTTCGGGTGTACCTCTCCTGGTTATTGCACATTTTACATTTGATTAGAATATGGAAACATATTAATAAACCAAAAATTGCACAATGTATCCGGTTATTTTTAGACTATCCATTATTAAAATAGGTTGATATTACTTACTTGTCAAGTTGGGATTTGATCCTGAAGGCATATCTGCTAGTTGGTTTCGATTTAAATCGACACCAAAACACCACACAGTACGACAACACAAAACTTAAATTAATGCCGATTGTTTTTTCCACACTGCGTGTTTCATTCAGAATCCGTAAAAATCGCGTCTAAATTTAAGATCGTTCGCTTCGCTTCAAGCAAACTTTCAACCTATTCAAAATAGTTCGGAAAATTGATGCCGAGAAACGTTCATGGTCGATGTTTTCAAGCGCATCTCGAAAAGCTATGCGTTCTATAGAAAAACAACGATTCTTATATTTAGCATGTTGTAAACTTGGGACACTCTATTCTTTGTAAATATTTATACTTTTTAAATTTTATTGTTCTGTCTGTTAAGTTTTCATGGAAATTTCCGCATTAACAATCCTTTTTCACTTTCATCGTGTTCCTCGTTATTATCATGTGAAGCATATAAATTAATTTTCTGTAACTGTTTAAACACCCGCGATAAAACATCTATTTTTTTAAACGCTAAAAATCTAGACATTTTTAGTAACTAGACGTTGCTACATGAACAACATTAATTAATTGAAATTAACTATGTGAAGTATAATTTATCTCCAGTTAGTTTCAGGAAACCGGCCTCGAAAGCGTGCCATTCCATAGGTCACATATTTTATTTTCTTATTTTGAACACTTAACATATTATCTTTACAAGTATTGTTTGTCAATTTACATTTTAATTTAATTATTTTTCGAATTTTTTTTAAATGTTTTAATTTGTAGGTCTCACATTAAAAGTAAAACTGAAGTAAAAGAAAAAAATTATCTGTTGAATTCCTATTCCACAGTGATCTGTATTAATCCCTTTTTTTAATAACAAAATTAACCGTTAAAATCCTCATCATCTTCCACTTCATATTTCTCTCATTAATCAGTACTAAAGGTCAGTAAAAAAGTATTTCTTCTGTTGTCTCAAATTGTTTCTTTAATGAAGCGATTATAAAATATTTTTTCTGAATTTTTGTAGTTAGTTATTATAATAAAAGTACAATGCGAACCACTTAAGAGCTTTATTAAAATTTGGTCAGCGAGCTTTCAATATAAAACAGCAACTGAACTGGTTACTCCAAGCATCAAATTTTGAACGGCATTCTTGTGTTCAGCTGGACGACTACTTTTCATAGACGAGGGATAAATTCACGATTATATGACTTAGCCCTTTTAACAATATCGTTATTTTTTTTCATGTTATCAAATTTATTGAAAACATCCGGTGAAGGTAGCGAATTTGTAACATTTAAAATATTTTTTATAAAACTTAGTTGCAGGCAACATTTTGGGTCTTTAGTAATTTAAGCGCGGCTCTTAAAAATTGTAATCAATTTTAATTCTACAGTCTTCAGATTCAGCTACTCTAATCCACTTTACCTTTTTCACTTTAAATAATCCACTTTAAATAATCTTGTCGCAGTCTTGTTTGATCTGAAAAGAAAAAGTATTTGCAGAATAAATAAGAAAAACAGCAAGCTAATGTAAAATTAACATGTATTATCAGAGATAACCCACATGCCGACATTCTGTATTAAAAGAGTTATCTTTGTTTTATAAAAATGAGCTTAAAAATTGGATTAACCACTTGCCACTTGTTCAATACTGTTCATATTATGTACCTACTTATATACGTTTCTCAACACAATTTCATCTCTAAGGAGTTTTCAAGTACAACTAATGCTAAAAGATACAAAAGCTAAAATATACAAATTTCGTTGTAAATTACATTCCTCAATGCGTGGAAGGTGTGCAGCTCCACATCGTTGGGGGTCCAGTCGAAGGAAGCAAATATGTTTGCGGGCTTTAAATGTAATTCTTATTAATTTGTTTGACGGGATATGGATTTCTGATGCCCCCAAATTGTTCGCTTGAGTATACTACCTTGAAGATGAAAAACATTTGACCGCAAAAACTGTTACTTCTATTCTGATATTAATTTTTGATTAATAATACTACACAAGAATTTAAGGTTTGATTGTAACAAAGTAGTCAAAGTAGAGCAAGAACATGAAGTATATTTACGCAAATAAATTGGGTTTACATAAATACTAGAGACTTTTCAAAGTATGGGAGAAAGAAACCTGATTAGATGAGAAAAACTGAAGCATATTTAAATGTTGCTCAATGGAATAGAAATAAAATTTTCCTCCGTGGCATTTTCTTATATGCCTACAAATTTTCCTTAAATGATTAATGCTGAGCTGTACAATTTCCTGAAAACCTTATTGAACATCATTTCTAAAATAGCATTAAAAAAACCGCTTTATTCGTTCCCTTCAACTGCTCTAATAATTCACAAGAAATTCATGTACAAAGTGTTCAAAAATATGTGTGTAATAATGTATTAATTGTTGTAATACATTCTGTTCTTTCGAGGGAAGAGCCCACAAAAATATAGGTATATCTAAAACCAGCTTTTTGATTATTTCCATAAATATGGGGCAAATATTTGAAAGGTACCTACTAATCTGACAAGTAATTCATAAAAACTGTTAAAAATGGGAAACAATATAAGCAAACGCCTACCCACCTTCGACGAAAAGGTATCATGTAGATCTCCATGTATCTCGGATCACACTAGCATTTTCCTCAAAAAACATTGACCTTAATAAAAAACTAGAATGATCTCTTCAAGACACTGCTAATTTTGAAAAATTTCGGAAACGCAAATGAAGTGTAAATACAAATTAAACAGCATTCTGAGACAGAAAAATACTGTTTTCAGGGATCAATTTCAGAAGATATTATT